CTGATAGGTGTAAACAATTTCGTCCTAAGTAAAACAGCGAGTTTGCGACTAATACTGAAACTATAACTAGCTACGTGAATATTGGACTTATAATTTTATTGAGAATTTTTTTGGGGAATCAAATAAAAAATGCCTCCGACGTGTCACGAAGGTGTTACCCAGATGACGGGGGCTAAAATTTTTGCAAGCCGTTTAAGAAGCTGCCTATTCGCAATGTATTCGTATGATATTTCATTGATGTTACTCACACTGCTCTACTCCGTCCACTTTACACTTTGCTTACGATCAACTTCAACCAAAATAATATCAAGCTTTCCTTAAGCGATAAGCGATAGACCCCGTCCCGCATGAAGAGCCGCGTATATGTACACATAGTCGGCATAGCTGATGGTGATTTGCACAACCTGTTTTTCCTTTCGAAATGCTGCCGGAGGTCAGCGAACGCGACCAACGTCAGTGACAACAACAGCAACATCAACCCTTTTACCAATTGAAATCACCACGTAAACTGGCCGTCCAGCACGATCGCTCCAGCATCCGGGTAACTCTCTTCGGAATCGGTTATTAAAATAGCGCTGCATATTCTGTTATTGCGGCTTCATCGTTGCAGACACTCATTTCCTACGGTGGGTCTCTAGTGACGTGAGTTCCTTCGGCCCCTGCCCCTATCGAGGTCAGTACTACAGTGGCGATGAGGGAGATGACTGAGGGGTTGGTCGGTCGGTAGTGCATCGAGGCACTCCGCCCTCCACGTCGAGGCGGTGTCTAGGGACGACAATCACGGTTACAACACGCATGCTGACACACACCCTCACACACCAAAATGAGTGCCTCGCGCTTCGGAGCAAGCTCGACGCTTTCTGAACCTACGACCTCGTTCTGTTCGACAGTGAATAGCAGCACACGGGCGGATACGAGTGAGATCGAAGGACTGAACGGGTCTGTCAGGCATCATAATTTACTACCTCTAATATATGCTTGACTGCGGAACCACTATTAAACTACTTCCCGCTACGTTTTGCTGGTATTGCAATTACACATAATAATATGAGTGTAATTGAAACCCATATTTTTCATAAGATGTGTTGCTATGTTCATGTGTCACAATCATAGTAAGGCTTTTTAAAGCTCATATTTAGCAGATGACTAGATCATTATTGATATGATCATGAAGCCGTAGCACGTTAGTCAACATTTGACAAGTTTCATGCGAAAACATATAAAATTGAAAGACTTCCTTTCTGGTTCTTCCGTGTCGTTCCACACACGTGCTGATATAGAGTGCCATACTGTACTTATAAGACTATACAGAAGATTACCCAATGACACGCGAACCTCTACATTGCAAGCTCGGTCCTCTAAGTCGTGGGATCCAGATGTACTTTCTGATCAGCAGCCACAACTAAAGTGAGCTCTAAATTATAGCATACACTCACATACGTAAGGTAGGCAAATCTTCTGAGGTCGGAAATATAGTGGAATACAAATAGCTAGAAATGTCTCATGTCGAGGACGTTTGTCTATTATACTTAGTAGCCTAACCACCCAGTAGTATTCGGTCAGATCAGTTCTGCTGTAAGCTAAGTATCAACCATAATACCTAGTCTAGATCTATACGCATGTATAGTCCTATACGAGAACGCAATGATTCCTGACCAATTTCTGCCTCTGTTTCACTTGATCATTTCTAGTAAAATCCTAAATCTGCAACACGGCAGACAATACCCTTGTTATATCTACATGATACGCTGATATTACGCTGAAACATACGATTGCCATACCTATTTGATTCGATTTATTCAAATATTAGAATAATATGTTTGCATTTGTTTTATTTTTTTGCTTACAATTGTGTTACATGAACTCTATAATTTCAGAGCTCGGCCGGGTTGAACGAGTATTATATATATTAGATATAAGTTGCCCGACTCGACCCAGTTGGAATAGAACGAAAGCTCTTCCACACCACGCATACCTCAGCCTATATCCAGCGGCCATTTCTCACTCGACAGACATTGCATCTGTGTAGTAAGTTCTCTTGAGTCAGTAACAACTTTAGGGACACGCTTAAGTCAGAGCTAATAACCCAACACCGATCTCTTTTTGTGAGTCATGATGTAACTACTACCTAATCTGTGCAAATGACAAAAGCTACATTTAAATTCTATAAATACAGTAAACGTCGTGAATTAAAACTGTAATAACAAGATCTGAAATCCGCAGCGCTTCGGAGTTCGCAGCAACAAAAGCCAATCGCATCATTGTAATTTTAGATGTCAACAATAAATAAGACTTTATTATTATTATATTTTATTAAAACTTCACCCTGCCGCGTCGGTGGCGCGCAAGGACGCTTCTTAAATGCTGTTATACTTAACAAAATTGCCCCTGCTGTTTGAGGCCAATTCGTTGTTACGTGTGGCTGAGTTTTCGATGCACTGTACACAAGAGCATATTCCAACCCTGTTCCATGTCTAATACAACGACTTGTCCTGATAGAAATATACATCCTTCTAGAAACGAAGACATTAATCTCCTGGAAGTCTGATAATTCCCGAAAAATGTATGTGTACGCGAATCGGAGAAGTCGAATGACTTTAGAAGCTTTCTGTTTGTCTGAAGGATTAAATGAAGTACGGTCTTTGGTGTCGTAGTGAGCAATGTTACAGTACGGCATTAGGTAACCATACGCATAAACAGTAGTCCCACTTCAATACCTCGTCTAGTTTGACATTTATGCTGTGCACTAAACGGATGATCACATTAGCTGTTGATACACAGCGGACTGCAATTGCTTTATAATATAGAGCTTATATTGTCTCATATCAAACGAAATTGGCGTAACTTATTCAGCGCACCATATACAAGGCTAGTCGACAATAACGTTACTCTCAATTTTTTTTTCACTCAACGTTATGTTTCAGTTGAGACAAAGGGCAAGTTTTCTAACAGGCCGCGGATGCAGCAAATGGTACAATGCACCTGGAGGATGAGAATTTCTTCTTTCGGATCTGATCAGGTCGGTCTGTCGCGTATTCTGAGACAATTACTTTCAAACTACGATTATATTTTAAAACAAGAGAACTCCCTTCTGCCATAAAGGGGCATTATATAGTCAAATTACTGACCTGGATGGATTCAGTGGCGCACTATTGTAAGGTTATTTATCCTGGCCAGTGGAGCAAGTTAGCCACTATGGAACATTTTAATTGTATCTGGGTCAATGAATGTTTGAATTTTACGTCCATCACTGCCATCAGACGTTACTTCATGACTGTGTTTGTTGCCAGATACCGTTATTTATCAATGACGTATCTACTTCGTCTTAAGTTTTCGACGCTCGTACACATCGATTATACAACTTACCACCCCTATTGCGCACACGAATATACAATGTTGGCTTTTTTATTTCGATCACACACGCGTCGGATCATATAACGTACCATATATGCAGCCAATATGAATCACTCTAAACAGTTGCAGGCTTGGCTTCAAGATGGGGTGGTTACATTGTTCATACTCATTATCCAAGGCATGCCCAAATGCTACCCTCCTAAGCGGAACATAAAACCCATGGTTTCCAGGAACGTCCGATAGATACAAACAGAATTAGCAAAACAAGTTTTATCAACTATCATCAATTTTGTCGGAAATAATTCAAACTCTTCTTCAAATTATTTAATCTCAAAACAGCCCTTTCACTAATCGCTTACATCCCACGCAAGCACTCGAGCACAGCTACAGATCTCTACTTTACGCGAAGCAATTCACACTCAAAAACCCACTGAAAATTGATCACCACGACCCATCTAACTGTATAAGCCCACAGCTTACATAAGCAAAGCCAGCCTTTCAAACTAAGGCGATTTGACAGGCAAAATGACGGAATGGAGCCAGCAAGTGGAGCAGGCAAGTGGCGCGCCAGCCAATGACCTAACAAATGGAGCTTTTACTTTTCTTTTGTGGCCTGGCAGTTGAGAACCGCAAGAAATGGGATTCCAAGCTCTGCTCCGTTTTACCATACTTTTAGTTGCCTGCCTGCTTGCCTGCCTGCCGAAAACAGTAGCGAAGGCCAAGAAATAAGTGAATAAATTGTATTGTAACGATGCCCAAGGGTTCCCGCCAGGACAACTAGAAGCCAAAAAAAAATCCATCCATGGAAAAAATCCAGAAAATGAGCTCAATAACGGGAAATGAAAACTCAAACTCGGAGCTACTCAGAGGGAGCGAGAAAAGAGAAGTAGGAATAGCTTTCGACATTGACCATATGGGGTCTCGGCCAAAAAGCCAACAGCAGTGGAGCAATACACTCTTCTCCAGCTCCGCCTCACCTTTTTTCCCTGTAGGGAAAAAACAAAATCCAAAAGAGGGAGGGAAGGAAGGACAAGCATAGCGTTACTTCCGCGTGCATGTGTGTTAGTCAAAGCAGCAAGCGGGCTACCGTTTGACGCTTGAAAAGGTGTCACATTATTAAGGACATATGTGGTATTCGCATGAGAGGTACGCCGCGATATTGTGCAGTGTTTAGGTCGTCGTCGATTCGATGGTGATAGTTGGTGATAAAAAGCGAAATGTATATCTCTGTACCAAATAGAAGAAGAGTTAGGGCTATGGAACATATCGAAATCGAATCGATCAAGCAGAAAGGAGACCGAGAACATCGTACAATGGGCATACTTAGACTATCGATAACATCAGGGGGAAAAACGGATTAAAATTTTTAACAGCTGAGTTTCACTGTTCGAGAGACAACTTACTTCTGCATTGATAGAAGTTCCCACATATCTAGCGGTAATATTAAATAGAATAAAAGCTCAGATTGATTTGTCATACGCAAATGTAATCAACTGTGACGTAACATTCAATCCGCAATTGTATCTGCCTGATTTCTAGAACATTAGAACGTTATCTAACTATCATCAATATTCAATAACGTTGTATTAATGCTCAAAACTCCGTTTATTATATAATATACCTTGCCTATTTTCCTCTATTTAGGACTGCTCCCTTTGAACGTCAGTCAGACACTTTCTTTTTTAACGACAATACCGGACGTAAAACTCGAAACATAGCCGCATTTCCTCTCCTATCGCATAGGTACAGAGCTCATTGGTGGTACTAGTCTATACGAATGCAACATTGTTAATCTATCTAAAGGTTACATAGACGCTTTTTTGGAAATCTGCAGTAATGAACTAATTAAACTCATTGCAGAAACAGTGAAATATACTAAAAGATATTATTCAACATAAACTTCTATACGTTAAACTGGTAATAAAACAAGGGAAAGGCAAACCGAAAGCTACTGCTAGACAAAAAATTCGATTTAACGCTGACACGGTATAGCCCTGCTTGTATTAGGGGATATATATAAATCGGAGGATACGACAACCTATGTCATGTACGGGTACAAATTTTTAAATAAATCAAACATTTAGTAATTGTAGAATTTCGCATGCCAGTAGACTAAGAAGTTTACAAAGTCCTCAAAAAATAGGCATAGAATGTATTATACATACCGGAAGAAAATCAACGAATAGTTTCGATTTTAGAAAAATGTAAATAATTTATTAAGAAACATCTTTAATAATTATATTATGCCTTTTATCCAATGCCTTCTCTAAATACTCTTCGTTTTGCGTTTCCATATAAACAATTTGAATTTTCTATGTTGCTCTTGCATAAAACTCCGACACTTCAGCTCACAACAATCCAGAACAATGTTGCTAGGAAACATATTTTCCACATATTTTGTTAATACTTCGCACGCGTATTTCTGTCAGCGTCATGAAAAAATTGTGTTGAACAATGAAATTACTCGGATAATGCAAGTTAATACCAACTTAGGTGATTCCCATTCTCATTTTCTAATGTTTCCTTATGTAAACTTAATGAAGAACACGTTACGCAACATACGTGTAGTGAATAAAAGTACACTATCATTATGGTTAGTGACTGGTTCATGACGCTCGATAGGCGATAATGTCAAATCTTACTGTACAAGCTTTTTTTTGTATTCGAACACATGGTTTCATGGGAAGACAATCCTACAAAGGTGACAGAATCAATTCTGGCTTATAAACGTAGCCCAAGCGAATCTAAATTACAACATACTAAAATACCGTATAGTTCGTCCTCTACGGTGTCACTTTCCCACCCCTTCCCCTCCGTTCCATTTGCTCTTATTTATAACTGTAAGGCACACGTACCAAACCCGCAACAACACCGCCAGCCGTGCATGAGTCACGAATAATAGTAATGAATCCCTTCATGTTCCTTCGCATCGAAGAGGGTCAACTGGTGAAAACTATTGTAATGGTAGTCGTTCGCGGGATAGGTACGGGGCAGCTCTGTAATTTTGACCAGGAAGAGGAAGTGTAGCAGGCGTTTATTGAACTAACATCACTTGATACTCAATAATAATAATAATGGCAATGATGGTCGTTCGAACATGAACTACAGTGTCTTTGCATTGAGATACATACGCTTGACTGCACAAAGGCGTACATATGCTCCCACACACACACACACATCGAGGCTAACTGTTCGCGGCGTTCAGCGGCCACTTACTATCTGACGTGATAGTCATGGTCGTTTACGCCCTCATTTGATGTGTGACTAGGTTGTTGAACATACCTCCTTCAATACGAACGAGGTCACCGAATCGGCCTTGCTCTACAATTTGACCGCCATTCAAAACGACGATATTGTCAGCCCGTTGAATTGTCGATAGACGATGGGCAATAACAACGACGGTGCGTCCTTTTGAGAAACGCTCGAGAACATCCTGAATAAGCCTCTCACTAATGGCATCAAGACTGCTGGTCGCTTCATCAAGAATAAGAATTTTCGGCTTGCGAAGGATTGCGCGAGCTATCGCGATTCTCTGCTTCTGGCCACCAGATAGCATGACACCGCGCTCACCCACTATAGTGTCAAATCCTTGAGGAAGTTCACTAGCGAAATCGTAGATATTGGCAACGTGGGCAGCCTCCATAATATCGTTGGTTGTCACCGGAGTCGTGCTGCCGTACTCGATGTTCTCACGAATGGTCGCCGAAAATAGAACAGGCTCCTGAGCTACAACACCGATTTGGTTTCGTAGAAAGGTGGGATTTAATTCAGCTATATTATGGCCATCAAGCTGAACTACGCCGCTGTCCGGGTCGTAGAGACGCAGTATTAAGCCGGCTAATGTCGATTTGCCAGAACCGGACGGGCCAACTACGGCCGTGACTTTTCCCGACAGGATCTCAAGGTCTAACCCGTTCAGGATATTGGACTTGCGCGTAGGATACCGGAAGCTAACCCCCCTAAATTCTATTCTGCCCTCTACGTTCGGCAGCAGTTTGCCGCTGTCGAGCGGAACAGCTGGTTGGCGGTCCATGATTGCCCAGAGCTTCTGAGAGGCACCTAGCGCTTTCATTGTCTCTGAGATAAAATTAAACATGCTCCCCATCGAGACGCCAACGTAAGCGGCGTAAATGAGGAACGAGCTAAGACTCCCTACGCTTATGTGACCGTCGGCCATCAACATTCCGCCGTAGTAAAGAACGGACATAATCATGACATTGCCTGATGCCCCAGTCGTCCCAAAGAAGATTGCACGTCTTTTCGCCTCATCCGTTCTCGCCGCCAGTACTTCGTCAAGAGTCTTCGCGTAACGTGATAGCTCTAGGTCCTCTTTACTAAACATTCGCACGGTGCGTATATTTGAGAACTGCTCCTCGGCAACACCACTCGCTTCAGCCAGTTTGTTCTGTACACTGGCTGCAACTTTTTTCAGTTTCTTTGAATAAACTATGGCAACCGCGGCTACAGGAGCCACGATACCCAATCCGACAAGGCTGAGCTGGGGCGAAGTGTACGTCATCATACCGACTGCACCGGCTATCGAAAAGAAAGCGCGCAGTCCGTCAGAGGCGTTCTGCGTTAACGAACTGCCGATCTGTGCTGCGTCGCTAGTGAGACGCGATAGCAACTGGCCGGTTCTTTGCGTGTCGAAAAACGCCACCTCCTGATGAACTATAGCCCGATGAACCTGTGCACGAATACGATTCGTTATTCGTTGTGAGGCAATATTAACCAGGTAGACACGACCAAAATTTGCCGCGCCCCCGATCACCGCAAGGCCACCAACAATGGCTACGATATAATTAAGTCTCGCCTTCATTGTCTCTTTATTGTCTGATCCGTATATTGTATCGATTGTTTTTCCAATAAGAAACGGAAACACTATTGTAGCTAGGGAACTTAGGCTAAGTAGGCCAACAGCTGCCAACAGGGTATTTCGTTCGGGAATAGCGTAAGTTAGAAGCCGGCTCAAGTCTGATCGATGCTTCACTTTTTTAGAGGAGGAAGCTGTGCCACATTGTCGTAACGGTGACCTCAATAACGCTTGAAAAACTGGTGACGGCGGTAAGCCGAGAGCACGGGTTGAAAATGGACTGTTGCCGGTTTTCAGTCGAGCGATGATTGTAGTCGTACTCCGGGACTTCAGTCTGCATGACTGCCACAACAATAGTTTACTGAGCATCGTATGACTGATTTCAAAACATTCACGACGCCTGTTGAGGTCTCTATGAATTGCGGTTGCAATCAATTAATTGGAACGCAGAGTATCGTTAACATTGGTTATTAACATTTGGGCTATGATCAAACTGGGTACTTTGTTTGGCTAAGCAATGATTAGAGCTATCAGCACTTTTACCACCCTACGCAGAAAAGTCTTCTCCAGCTGAGCCGCAATCAGAAGCACATGTGTTTTGCTCGACCCCCCTCCCCCTCCCCCCGCTTCGCATGTCGAACAGTTACCGCCGCGTCAATTCAAGCAAGTAGATCATTCTGGCAAAACCCGACAAAAAAACAGACCTCACAGTAATCCCGTGTACTGACCGCTAACTGAATTAATCACCCCTTTCCCATATTTTATAATAGCCTGCAGAAATTTTAAAATGGCTTCTTGATTTGGTGTGCTTTCATACGAAATGCGTTCATGCTGTTTGGAAATAGAGAACACGGAAAAAGACAGATTCAATTGGTATTAGTCAAACAAGCGAATTTAGAACTTCTAAATAATACGGTTTTCTGATATTTTTAGACGGTTGTGAGGAAATATGGCAAATAATAAAATCGCGAAGATTTAATTATAACTGCAATGTACCTCCAATTAATTGCTAATTGGTGCTAGTTAGGTTAGCGTTCGGCCGTATGGGTTCAGGCCTTTGAATTACAGGTTCGTTCCAAAACAAGGACAAGCTGACAACAGGTTAGTTTTTATATAAGACAAATAAAACGTTTTGAAGCTCATATATGCTTCGTGTTATTTCTCTTGAAGCTATAAGTAACTTCAGTATTTATTTATTTATTTGACAATTTATCTGACACTGCGCACCAAAAATATGTTTGCTTGCATCTACCAAATTAACCGCAGGCCTTATTTTAATGTTTTTGATAATTCTAACAGCAGCAAATGATAATCAATATATTATTGCAAAAACGTTCAAGTAAAGGAAAGAATAAAAAAAAAGTTATTTTTCGGGAAATGCAAAACTCAACACTTATTATAAAATGATAATATTTGGAAAGTGTATATATAGATTGTGGTTGGTTAAATATCAGTACTTTTATTCGATATTTTCTTAACAAAGGGCTCGATCATTTAACAGCCATTTAGGAATGGTAAATGCAGTTCTCAATCCATGTCACTGCGAACTAGTGGGGAAACTTCATTACACATACTTAGTGAATGCAGAATGACCTTACTATATATCTAATCTTTTCCTAACCAAGGCTACACTCAATATTAACTTTAAGGACAAAGAGCGCATCGATTCCAGTTAAACAATGGGTGGAGGTAATTTGAATTTAAAAAAATCTTGGCATCCGTCAACTCTTAGAAATCAAGAGAGGGTGTGGAAAGCACAACAGCAAGATGAATCTGAAAAAAAGAAAGTGGAGGTGCTTCGAAAGGAACTACAGGCACAACGAGAAAAGGAGGAATTTCAGGTTTGTAAATAGGCCATATAACATAACACTAAACATGTTAGACAAAATATCCTTTGTTTGGTCTATTGCTTGATTTACTAATCGTTAGAACATTAGAATTTGCATAATTGAATAAAATTGATTCGTTTTGTAGTGAGCTCAAAGGTCGTTGTAGCTACATATTTGTCCCTGCCGACGTATTTTTTTGCAAAATTATTGCTTAGATTATCGTCACTTTATGTCAAAAACGCTACGATATTCTTGCTTTTTCATTAACCATTTGGAGAAACATAAAACTACCTTGAAAATTTTAAATATATTTTATTTTTGCAGGGTTCGCGAGCAATGTAGCGAGGTGTTACCGGAATATTAGCACTAGGGACAAACTTCTTCGAAGAGAAAACATGAGAAAACCTATAAAAATAATAGGCATATTTGAAACATTTGTAGAATCGAATAAATATATTCTCAGTCTCATTCAGTAGCTTCATACGGTATCAAAATAGACCGGTAAAGTTAGCTACCTGTATATGAAGAAACGTACGATATTTATTCAATGTAATTTTACGGGGAAACTGTCGACAAAGCAGATTTTTTCTGTCAGGCTACTAAACATTGCATGTATTGATTTTTGGATATACTGCATGGATAGACTGATTTTTAAACACGAAAGGTGCTGTCTTTCGATATCATATGGTCTTTTTCGGCACATTTTCTGGGTGATTTACTTTTCCGCGATGTGATTCGTAAGCGTCAAATGATTGTTCCTAGAAACCATGCCATTTGTATTTAAACGTAGTATTGTAATTCATATTTTTGCTCTATTTCAGAATATCGCTGACCGTGCAAGCGGCTCGACCGAGTCAAAGACCAAGTTGGAGTGGATGTACAAGGGTGTATCCGCCTTGGTGGATCGTGAGGATTACCTGCTGGGGCGAAAAGTCGACAAAACCTTCGATGTCATCAAGGCCGCAGAAGAAGCATCAGAAACGACGCAACAGGATGGCGAAAAGTGTGAAGGATTGCCTAGCCAGTTATTCAAAAGGGGCGAAACAAAGGCGGACTTCACACCGGTGGACATGGCTGTTAAGGTTCGTGAGGACCCGTTGTACATTATCAAAAAACAAGAATACGAGTCGAAAAAGCAACTTCTTAGCAATCCAGTAAAAATGAAAATGCTCCAAGAAATGATCAACAAGGAAAAATGTAAGAGACATAAGAAGAGCAAAAAAAAGAAGAAGAAGAACAAAAAAAATCCAAAGCGAGGTGACAGCACAAGTGACAGCAGCCCTGAGCGGGACATCCGTATCCCTATCAACAAAAACAAGGAAGAATCGAAATCTTTTGATGACCGACAGCGAGGCTCGCCGAATCGAGACCGTGGCAAGAGTGCAAACCCATACAGCAGGTTTGGGTATAGAGAAAACAGTCGTTTAGGAAGAAGACGGCATAGTGTCGAGAGAAAATCCAACCGAAGTCTTCATAGATATCGAGGTTCCCAAAGAAATCGCTCCAGAAGTCCACAGCAAGACGAAAGCGTTGACCGAACAAGAAGTACGAAAGATATCACTCACAGACGAGAGCGTAACAGTGAAAGAACAGAACATAGCCAACCCGAAGAACCTAATAGAAATGGGCTTACCGAGGCGAAGGACCGACGAAGCCCTGAGCCCTTGATGAGGAATAGACCAAGAGATTACGAGAGCGTTGAATTATTCAGCCGGTCACCTTCTCCTATGAGAGAAGGGTATGGCCTAATCAAGGTAAAAGAGACATCAGAAGACGTTGGGTATGCGAAGAAGGACTACCGTCTTCTGCTTGAGGACCGTAGGCAGAAAGAGGAGAGGGAACGCCTCGAGCTGAAGGAACGTTGCAGAAACCGAAACAGCCACAAGATGACAAAAGAAGAAAAGGAAGCGAGGCTTCGAGAAATGCAGGAGGATGCCGTTATACGGGAAGCGCAAAGGCAAGAATACGTAAGGCGACATACAAAATGTGACGCCGTCGTTGTCGAGGGCTACCAGGAAAGCGGATTCCGGGGAGCGGAAATGTTTTCTAAAGCTGTCGACAAATCAAATGTCGAAAGACGCATCAAAAGTAACCTAAAGGGATTAAAACGTGCTAATCGTATTATGGATAGCAATTTCCTGAGAAAATAACCGTTGACTAAGTAGAAACAATGGTTTTCGTGGTAGGAGTGGCCATGGAAAACCAAATGTACAAGACGTGAAACCTTTTTATATATTTATATCGCTCATTATGATCTCGATATGAGATCATCATCGGGAAAACCACACTACCGTATGCTGGGTGTCTCGGTAATAAAAAGCACCTAATGTAAATGCTTTTGTAAATTTGACACACTGTTAGAACAATTGCGATTTATGTGCAGTATAAAAGGTTAAGGAGAAATAAACAGTTTTGCCCGATTCTGATGCAAAAAAGCGCTGATTTATCTGCTTTTACATAACATATATTTTCGTAGCTGTATATGTGTGTGAAGCCCGCGAGTGTGCTGCGTAGCGTACGTTCAGGATCGACAATCGAATTACGATAGAGCGCTGACCACAAGCCCAATATTTTAGTAAACGCAGTGCATACAGTGCATTTTCAAAGTATGTAGTAATTTTGCGTTAAATTAAACAGCAAAAACTGTCATTACTTACATATAAGCTTTTAAAGTAGAAAATTATAAACACACAATCTTTACACAAACGACATGATATCCAAATACTGTATATGTTCATTTCGAGTCGAGTGTTAATTAAACCATTTCTGGCCGCTAATCTGCTGTCCGTTGTAATAATATAAACAGTTTTCTTAAAACGTATACGTGCACACTGGGAAAGCTTTTCATAATGAGTTAATAAACAACACGAAGTAATCTCCTTTTGTCTTTTGGTCAAACCGCACATCGTTTCCAAATACTTCCAAACTTTAATGTTGAAAGATTGCCACGTACGGTTCATTTCCACAAAATTTACCTACCAACACCTACTTTTCAAGATGATCATTCCATCTGAATACTTCAAAAAACAATATATATATTTAGAAAATATCCAGAAAGCAGTAAGGAATACATCATATAAACGAAAATGAATACACAGTAAACTTTGAAATAAACGCGCTTGTATTTAACGAGACAATTACATAATGTTTTGACTTTTTTTGCATTCAATATATATATATATATATATATATATATATATATATATATATATATGCAGAGATGATGTGGTTTGTTGTCTGGTGTAATTGTTCATTTTTTTTTTTTACAGAATAATGAAAATGGTGTAACCTTTCTCGTTTTCACCGCCTTATCTTATTTGCTTTTTGCGCCACAGGTCTCTCTCTCTCTCTCTCTCTATATATATATATTTTCAGTATATGTACTGTGACGATCTGCGTCGCTGTGGTATCCGTTAGAGAAAGTGCTCAGTCTTACACAATAGAGCCAACACGAAAGATACTTCTTTCGGATTAGATAATAATTTTACTTAATCTAATCTTACATATTCCATGCTTTTTCATATCCTTTCCTTCTGTTTTTCGCTTTGCTTGCCACTGGTGGTCGTCCCCTTCATCATAAAAGAAACACTATTACTTCTAATACGTACATATATTTAGTACTATTTCCACCATTTATGCTCGTGATCATAATGTGTATATATATTTATGTATATATTCTGTACAGCGGAAGAGCAGCGTTATCACCGGTATGGCCAACTGACTGATTTTTTAAAGACACTACATGCTATTACAATAATAATAAGAGATTAGTTATAGTTATATGCCATGATGTATTTTCCCTTGCCAGCCAGTTATCAATCAATTGATTAAAGAACTATATCATCAATCCATTAAGCATGTACAAAATCATATCAGCATGTTATTCAATTCGGCTCAGGAGAATCGAAATTTCGGTTATTTCTAAGATTTCTAAGTTTTGACACGTTTTTGATATCACGGGTTATAGGTCTCCAACGATTGTACGATTGGTCTTTAAGGACTAAGTTCATGTAGTTAAAAAGATTTCGAGACAGAACTCTCGCAAGGAATCCTAGATATACGGAACTTATATACGCCGGATAGTAGAAATCTAAGTGGGGATTTTCAAGCTTTTTTTTGAACGTATATTAATGTACAAAGGCAAATGGTGTTGAATATAGAAAACGATGAAGTACGTTACTAGTCCAAAGTTCCGGACGTTTCAAGTTAGTGTACAATTTACAATCCTGTGGAGAACGTTAACCCATAATTCGTAATTTGAATTGCTCATAATAATAGGACACACATACAAATGCGCATTTAACATAATAATTAAACTAAGTTTAGCATTCATGTGAATATCCTGCACATAGCTTCACGAATTTGTGATCTATGAATAAATGATGATAGTAATTACTCTAATGCTGATAGTCCTTCGTGACAGTGCATCGTAAGCAAGTTGATTAAGAAAGATAAAACGGATTACTTAATTTAGAGGGAAGGAGACTTATCGGATGCATTCAACGTACGCAAACAATCAGTCATTCTGAGTCTCACTGGGGAGGCTGTATTTATTCTTACACAACCGCTATAGTGTGTGGAACGATTTCTGAAAAAATGATTAATAACTCCTTATGAAAGGCAGCTCAAATCCAACGCAGAAATAAATAACAATTCGTTACGTCCCACGCCATATTTTGGATATAATTTCAAAATTTACTAGTTTAGCAGAACATGTTGCTAGCAGCATATACAAGTACTACCTGAACTTGAGCGAAACTTTTAGAGTCATTTTCGGCGACCATTAACTAGCCTAAAAAATAACATTACATATCTCGTAACAATACGGCATCGGTAGACTTTTAGTAGATGATTTTAGGACCATCACAATGACAATGCAAATATAAATTACACGAGGTAATAACTACGCTCAAGTGAAAAACGTGAGTGAACGAAAAATCATTTTGGGGTTGTTCCACTAACAGATGATGGACGCATTGATGAATGTCTAGCCAATACCAATAGTGAAACGACCAACATAGTAATACATCTACATGACATAGGAGATAGCATACGAAAAGCCAGTTATGCAATGAACTGTTTTGTTTTAATTACTACAGCCTAGCCAGCTGACCAGACCGACCTCATTTTCGTCTTCTATCATTCCCTATTTTGCTGCTACGACAGCTGTGGCAGCAGCAGCAACAATTCAACAATTGCTATTAATAATAATTCATATGTCACTCGCGGTGAACCTAGTGAATAGAGGTAATAGTTACTCTATGGTTGATTCACTGGTGTCCACGTCATCATTCGCTTGCAATTAGTGACGATTAACGCAACTGCTTGTTAACATGCCTTGTTGATGTTTGCTTTTTTGCTTTGCCGCGATAAACTGATAAACTGTGTTTGTAAACCCCCCTCCCACATGTTTTTATTTTTCCAGTGGCATCGTCATAACCATTTGATTTTGTCCATAGCCAATGTGTGTCGCCCGTAGATGTCACATGCCGCTCCAGATACGACTAACTACGGTACGGACTCTTTTCCTTTCAGTGAAGCATCATTGTAATGATCTAATAATAATAATTATTATTATTATAACTAGCTCGGTGACATACATTGATAGTAGATTGTTATTTGTTTTCTTTTATATCATTCATCATATACAAATATACAAGAGGGTGATGGAGCAGCGCAAAAACGCATGGGCCTGAGCCCCTCTGTTCGGTTCAACTGGGCGAGATCTGAACGGGTCGTTAGCCGGGCGTTAACATATTCGAGCGCTACTCCAGCTGGGGATGCACAGTTGCACACTGCGCATACAGCACATATTAGCCATATATGCCGACATGTTAATAATAATCATTATAATATAGAGGCAGCAGAGACAAAGTACAGCTGTCCAACGCTTCGGCTATTCGCGAGCCACCAGCAATTTGCCCTAGATGTCTCACAGAAACAGACACTTATCGCAGGAAGCCATTCACAAAACAACTATCATTATACTATACAACTAAGCGCGCATTCACACAAAACCGCATACAACTTCGGCCAACGAATGCGGCGGACAGGCTGCAGAACTCTGAAGACGAGCGTCCTACTTCTTTTCGGTTTTTTCCCCGTGTTCGTAATGTCCACGGTTTACTCAGTTCTGTTGCTATCTTTCTCTTGTTGACTCGTCACAGCTGTATCTATTCTCCTCTGGACGCAGGACTGACTCGCTAACGCCTTCATGGATCAATGTTTTTATGATTCTCAGGATTTCGCTGTTTTGCAATTTAGCAGTTGTGGTCGTGCATTTTCGACATTTCTACAGAGGCACACACACACACATGTCCACGTCAATTAGTGCTTTAGCTTTTCTGCTCCGTGGCTTCTGTTTCTGTTATTTTGCTCTCCCATATATATGACACACACACATACACACGCACCAGAGCGGATCAGAGCGTGCACACGCCAACCGGTGTTGCTAATATCCCTCTCTTCATCAACTCTTAATAATTTACAATACACACCCCCACACACACACACACACGCATCTATATATATATATATATATATATATATATATATATATATATATAGTAAAACTAGTGTCTTCCATGCATTATATCGTTTCATGTTCCATTTTTCGCTTGCATTCCTTAGTGTTATCTCTATCTAGTTGGCCCTCCATCGCCTACTTCAACTTCTTTTTGCCCTCCTTTATGTTCCTAATCGCCACCTTATTGTTATGCTTTTCCTGACTTGGCCGCGCTTGTCCTCTAAAGACGTCACTCGACAAAAACGAAATGTTTGCATGTTTCACTTCATTTCAGTGCTTTACAGTGTCGTCAGCTATTTCAAGGACATAGGGTCGGATTCACAAGCATCTAAAAATCATTCCTCGCAAGATCCGAGGAGAATCCTGCTAGCTACTTGGACCTTCGACAGTGTTCGTCGACATATTCGCCGTACTGCCCTGCCAGGGTTGGCTTAACGGCTCTTATTTTTCTCTTTCTATCTTTCCATTTTCGAATTTTCTGTACAAACAGCGGCCTGTGATTGGATTGTAGGTGGTACTCCTCTCGTGAGAAACACGAGTGCACGACTACGAGGACTAACTGTACATGCGCATCTACATCATACGGGACCCGTTGAAAAACATTCCAAATAAGCCCCATGAAGTCGTTACATTTCACCATGGTGGAGCCAACCGTTCATCAAAATTATATCGCCGGCAGAATGTATCACGGGCGTGTTGTATCGGCATATTGGCTGTGTGGGGTCTTCATCAAAAAGACGCCATTCGAGCAGTGATCCGTCAAACGGGCGAGCCGGCCGCCATCAACACGTTTCTTCTCGTGAAGTGCAGAGCCAAAACCGACGTGCTCTTAGTGGGGTAAGTGGATAGTAGGAGACCGTCATGGGCACCGTCCGTTGCAACCCGGACATTCGGCGAGTTGGATGCTACCTCGTCGAGATCAAATTCGCTCATTAGTTTCGTAAAATCCCAAAGCTTGACGGCGCAGTCCATTCCGCCCGACGTCAGTATGGTGCCCTCTCGGGAGAATGTCAGCCGATGTATCGTGTCCGTGTGGCTCCAGAGATCGGCAAGTAGGTGAGCAGTGGCCACATCCCAGACGAGAATACGACCCCCACCACCAGCCGAGCACAGAAAGCGACCGCAGGAGGAAAAGGCCAACGCATAGATTGTTGACTTATGACCCGTCATATGTCGGACACAGGCGCCGCTTAACACATCCCATAGCCGAACAGAACGATCCGTAGAGCCTGTCGCTACGTAGTTGGAATTGGGATGAAATTGCACACAATCCACATCCGCATAATGACCTATTGAAAAAAATGAGAAACTCCGATTAGTGTCAAACTCATTAATGTATATGAGTTTCTATGGTTTGCGGACCATAGTACGCGACTGCCTTATATTACAATATACACAAACCAAAATAATTACCATGAACCATGTGTGACCAATCTAGAACAACATCCCATATAAGGCGAAGCAGTAGTTTTAAGCTGCCAGTTTCGTGTATGGCGAAGGGCTCTCTGCCCTTTGCACAACTTACCCGCAAACACTCGTAAAGGTTGATACGAGTCTGTGGCCCATAATCGCGCCGTCCGATCGTGCCCACATGACACGAAGTAGTAGCCAACAGGAGCAAACTGAACTGCCCAAACAGGAAACACATGACCTTTGTATGATACAACGTTGCTCCAAGTCAGCAGAGACCACAATCGAATCGTACCGTCTTCCGAACCAGACAAGAGGAACTGTTTATCTGGACTGAGAATCAAAGACGGAATGAAAATTTTCATGTTATGTTAACATGAAAATGTTAATAAAATAAATATAATAAATATAATAAAATAAAAATAAAATGTTAACGAAAAAAAAAAACTATGTTAAAGTCGATTTCAAAGGATCAATTATAGTTGCATCACGTTACAGCAAGTAAGTAAATCCGAATAGGTAATCATATAATATTAGTAATCACTTGTAACGCGGCTAACAATAACGCGGCTGTTAGTACAGACAAGCATCAGGAGAGGCATCGTACTGAAAGTTCTGGCATCTGTTGAGTATTTCTATTTCGTGTTCAAATTTTGCATTCCTTTATGTATGCCATTTCTCGTTGATTTATCTATAATTAAATGCAAATTTTTAGACCTACCTAAAGCTAAGAGAGGTAACGGGTCCCTGATGTCCAACCAATACTTTGGAATCAGCTGAGCTTCTTTCATCCATCATTCGGTACAGGACGTCGTCTGCTTCGCGATCAATTGTTTCTAATTCTCCTGCGCTCTTCATTGCCTTTAGTTTAACGGGGGTTACTGAGAACACTTTTATTCTGCTATCTTGAAGGCCAATGCCCATCATGGTCGCTTCGTCGTTGATTTCCACCGCTGGAAATAGTTGAACAATAAAAATAGACGACAGGTAAGAAAAATAGTATCAGACAGAAAAATAGGCTCGATACCAAGACAATCTAGATAAAGGATATCTAGACATGACCATGAGTCGTCGACAGAAATATTACGCTTCCTCTCATTTGTGATATACTAGCTAAACTGTAAATTCATAAACTGAGTTTTAAAAAACTTCAGCTTCCATAGAACACTTTCTTACATTCACAATAACCCCAACTAACCGGTAGCTTGTAGGTGGCTATTGATGAGCGTGTAGAAGCAGATGCTAGGCAAATTTCCTGCACCCAGTCGTATTCTCTTGGCCGCTTCCTTCAACGCATTTAATCGGTCGAGTTTGTCGGCGTCGCGCAGCTCAGGAAGTGGTATCCGATTCGATGGAGGTGCGTTTGGATCAGCTCGCGTCTTTTTTGACAAGCCTGAGTCTTTCTTTGCTTTCTTTTTTTTCGGCTTCCCGTCACCATCCTCGCCCCCGGCATCATCTTCTTCCTCAACGATAATTGTTGGCTCCTAAGTTGGATAAAAAAAAAATTTATTTGGGTTAGCCTTCGATCTATACTGTACCGTACGCACCCATAACTTGAATTGCAGGGCGGTTATGTAATGGCTAAGATAAGTTTCATAAATAAACTTACCTTTGGAAGGCCATAGTAAACCTTGGCCTTGTTCAGCTGCTTACTGGCTTCGCCCATGGTACTTCCACTAACCGCGTCGACCTGTTGTCGGCTCCTAGCAATGCCTTCGTAGACATCTACATAGATGTTTTCCTGAACGATGTTCTGAATTGCTGCATTTTTCTTATCCTGAAGGAAACGTTTGAGTGCATTGTATGTGTCTCGATACATGCGTACCGTGTACTGACCAGATCGGAAATTTTGCATCAATTGTGATTCAGCCATTTGGTCTTTTCGATGTACGAACATCAGTTGTCGAATATCTTCCTGGAAGTACTCCTCTTGCAAGGGGCCGAACCTGTACAGACATCATCACAATTGCTAGATATAGATCTGTTCTATGGATTTCGTCAGGATAGTACTTGAAAGATGCTGCGAAAGAAATAAAAGCTGCTGGAGCAAGGTAGTCAAACGTCAAGCACGGATTGAATAGCTCAATTTATCTGTAAAAATCAATGTTTTTTCGGCATCACTTCATTAACTAACTTCTTACTAACGCATCAAATTTGTATACATGCATTTTTAGTCTTTGCGGTGATTTAGAAAATTATAGGTTCATACCTCTCAATAAAGGCGTCCGCCTGTTTGCGGTGTCCGTTATGGACAAGTTCAAGGTACATGTGCACGAAGCACGGGTAAAGAATAGCCGCCAGTTCATGCCGGTACGAGTCCAGCGACGTCTCAACAAACGAACGCAACGCCGCATATGATCCTTCGACAGCATCAGGGTCGCCTTCTGCGCCTGCACGACCACTTAATCCCCCCGCAGTGCCTTCATCGCGTTCACTTTCTGCTACGCCCCCAGACACCTTTGACTCACGTTTTAAAATTTTTTCTGTTTCCTACATATTTGAAAAATATATATGCACCAAAAATAAATGTCAAACAGAATTAGACCAAAATTCCTCCTCACTGCATATTTATTGTAGTTTAGCTGAACAAAAAGCCTGAATCATTGTCCTACTCTGTTTGGAAATGTAATATAAGTAAAAAGTAATGGAACAATGACCTTGTGGACGTGTCAACTCTTATCTATTGTAACGTACTGGAATCTTTCAAGCCTAGCCCACTTGTTAAACCAAGAACTTTTACGGGCCAAGTTTCTTAAAATATATAGGTGATTTGTATATACGACTATTACAAAAGAGCACATGATAATAATGGTATCAGTGACGAGCAGTTAATACTTTAATAAGCCGATACAAGTTTGGATTAGTTTTAGAGCAGGTTTAAAATTTCCGCCAACCACCTTATGGCCAACCAGGCAACCAATCTGAAATCATAAACAGACAGCCTGAGATCACAAGCACCATTCACAACATTCGAATGTCCTGTGATGGAACGAAACCTACTGGAACACCTAAAGGCGGTCAAACATTATTTATGAAGCACAAAGATCAGCTCGATTTATAGATTACATTATACACGTATATATAGTCGTTTAAACGAAAGACGAAAGGTAACATCCATCAATACTAATATCAACAAAAACAGTACTTTTACATACTGTGGCGTGTTCTCCTAAGTAATATGTTTACAATACACATAATGAGGTGCCTTAACTTGAACCCAATCTTTTCTTAGATGTAAGTATGGATAGTTAGCTCTGTAGACTTCTCTATATACGGTTTGAAAAAATTGCGGTGCTTCGCTATGACATGATTCAACAGTGTAATGTCTAATTAAGTTTTCAATCACATACAGCATAGACGTTTACCTATGAGACAAATGAGTGAATCCTTTCAGATTATTAGTGTTGTAATTGTATTCATAGACTTACAAAATGCCAAATAATGGAAAACTAATCATGTATGCTGAAAAGCATTACTCATCAATCCACCTTGTCCTTTCGATCAAGCTGGGGCCGTTGTATACACGCAATCCCGGTAAAAATATCTTCATTTTATATTGCCTTAACATTGTTTATCAGTTTGTTGCCCGTCATCCGTCGCCAAAATTACTCGAGATGAGGCCTATTGGAATCAATTCAATCTGTTGCATATTTAACTCTATAGCTGTTTTCCTTTCACTCCATATTTTGCCTTATACAAAATGGGCAGTACCACTTTTGGCATTATGTATTATCACTTATCGTCCTGTTTTTCTTTCGCTTTCCCTTTACCGCTCAGAGTTCACTGTTTAACGAAGCCAAAATCGACGATAACGACGGGTAGGGCTCTTTTTTTCAAAAGCAAGGCAAAGCTGGATGAGTGCGAAGAGAGTATGCGCATTCGGATAACCCTACACCATTATCTCTCTAGTCGTATAAAAAGCAGCGACGGCTGCCAACGCTTTTGCGTTCTAGCACAAACACAACAGGATCGGTCGTAATAACGAAATATTGCCGTTACGGAGAGTGAAACAAGCTACACACATACAAGCAACGTTAACGGGTAGAAAAGAACGTACGGAGCACGGGACAATGGATAACCTTGCTTTTGGGACTAAACCAGCTCGAACGCGAAGCTTACCACGAAAGACTACATTGTGCACGTGGCGAGAAAAGCAACATGCTTTGAAGTACCGATGGTGAATCTCTCTGGAGCAATCATATGTGTTATGTTAGATTAAGCCCTAGTTCTAACACTGATAAACCTAGAAATAAGCTGATATTAAGCGCATAAGCGGAAAAACACGAGTCAAAATTGTAAAGAGAAGCGAACGGAGATAACTGGTTTTCCGACGAATTCAGTTTTGTGTGTATGTGTGATCTCTCTGGATGATTTATGGGGTTCTTGATCGAGCATTTACAAGTGTGGGCTTTTTGATCAGTTTCAATCAATAAAGTGCCTTCTCTTTTAGCAACTACGTCAACTTATAACTGATCAATTTAACCTACCAAAAACGTCACAGATTACATGTGCCCAAATATTTTGAACTATTGCTATCATTTCAAGCGTTATTAAGCCGTGAAGGATCACCGACGGTATTGCGTGTACAATCCAGAACATTAACCAGATTCGTCGCGTTAGGAGCATTACAAATCGCTAGTCAACAAAAAAAGAACGTGCGTACCACTAACGATCTGAGGATTGTCTCAAACCTTAACTTACGAGACCAGTGTCCGAGTACTTGGATAAATCCGCCGTCTACGTTTCCATATAACCCCACCCTTTGTGGTTGTAATCTTTGTGGTAAGTTCTCATGGCACACCCTACGCCATCAGACCCTCCCAATGGCAACACTCTTAGTCCCTACTACCAAGTGGTTTCAGCCGCAATCGACCTGGTAGCAGGCACAGCAGGTGGGACAGCTAACGTGCTCGTCGGACAACCACTGGACACGGTCAAGGCAAGTAGTTAAGCGGATTACCGACGAAGGCCGTTTGGACTGCTTCTGGAACAAATCTTTGTTTCGGGCTAAAGCCAGCCAGTATATATTGACGTATATACTGGCAAGAACTACGAATAATAACACGGAAACAAATTCACATGTTCTGCAAGTAAGCCATTTGTTGATATTCTTTTTTTCACTTCCGATAGGTACCGCCAGGTCTTTTTTTATTTACATAAGCCATGTCTACCTCTCATCAGACTGGTTCGAATTCTTTGGCTTTTTTTGGTTTCCGCTTTTAGGTGAAGATGCAAGCATTTCCGAAACTGTACCCGTCAACAATCCAATGTTTCGCTAAGACGCTACAACAAGATGGCGTGTTTCGTGGTCTATATGCTGGCACTCTGCCTGCTCTAGTTGCAAATGTGGCAGAAAATTCTGTACTTTTTTGTGCCTACGGAGTGTGTCAGCAGTTCGTACAAAAGATTGTCAACAAGCCTAAAGCGACAGACCTTTCTCCGCTGGAGAATGCCTCCGCAGGTTTCTTCGCTGCTTTTTTTTCCTCGGTTACATTATGTCCAACCGAATTGGTTAAATGTCGTCTTCAAGCTATGCGAGAATCGAGTCAGACTACGGGAATTTCAGCCTTTCAGCTAACAAAAAACATCTGGCATCAAGACGGCCTACCAGGATTCTTCGTAGGACTTACGCCAACGTTCGCTAGAGAAATGCCCGGTTATTTTTTTTTCTTTGGAGGTTATGAACTAACGAGGACATTTTTAGCGCCAAAAGGCGAAACAAAAGATGACATTGGACCAGTGAAAACCATCATTGCAGGAGGTACGGCATAGAACCACTAATACATAAATTAGATAGAAACACTAAGAGGGCACTATGATGACATCACTAATTTATGTAAATAATTCCAGGTGTCGGTGGTACATGTTTGTGGGTATCGATCTTTCCCGCGGATGTGATTAAATCACGCATGCAAATCTCTCACGAGGCGAAACTAGGCGCGTTCGGGGTAATGAAAAACCTTATTCACCGGGAGGGACTGTTGGCTTTATACAATGGTCTAATTCCTACCGTCTTAAGGACTTTCCCTTCTACGGGCGCACTCTTTCTTGCGTACGAATATACCCGCAAAACCCTAAATTCTGTATTTTTAGATCGCTAGAGATAACGAGGCCTACCCTATATCTCACCTGACACACAAAACGTTTGGTGATACAAAAAACATGGGTTCGTCACACGCGCAACGCAATTACTTAAAATCATTAGAAAAGCATTATTCATTACCTAATGATGGATGGCCAAGGGCCAATAGTATTGATAACTTCTGTATTCTATATTATTATATAATGGCAAAAATAGAACATGAATTTCATTTGAAAATGTTACATTTTAGCGATGAACTGTTAAATCAAAAAAGCACAACATTGTTCGGCCAAATACTCTATAATAAAAACAATACGTAGTACGAAGCGCAACATTTTTTTATGAAGAAGCATTCGCCGAAAATCAACCCGATTAGTTTTTCTCAAAAAAATAATATATAATAATTATTATCATTATAAAACTATTTGCTAGCAGAGACCTGAACAGTTTAGCGCAAAATCTTACGTGTTACCGAAGATTTCAATCTACATGTAGTAAACATGCACGACTATCCAAATCTAAGATCGACGAAAGTACTAATCTAGTCATCTGTTGTAACTTCTTTTAATATACAACTTCCTTACTTGTGATCGTACAGTTATTCATAAATTCAATAGGGGAAAATGATGACCTACCTGTAAGTTGTGTTTCCGTAGGTACTCGAGAACTGCCTGCAGTGAGAGCTGATCGCTTGCCTCTTTACCTATCTGCTTGCCATGTAAAGGCTGTTTCTCCCCATTAACCACAACTGCCTCATTTGATGATTTCGTGGGCGTGCCTGCATTGGTTGTTGTCTTTGCCTTTTCAGTTTCCGCGCTGCTCGATATGATGGCTATTGACGTTGTTGGTGTTGGCACCGTTGTTGACGCTGAGACTATTGTTGTGGCTGCTATTGACGAGGTCCCCGATGTCTTTATTTTTTGACCCGATAGTTCAGGGACATCACCATTCGTCGGCGTCTGCGATGATGCAGTGCTTTCTGTCAATTGAATTTCCTTCTGATTTTCTTCTAACTTTGGTCTAACTGTACATGGCCCATTGATGTTGCTTAACGTTGTACCATTCTCTACAACCGCCGAAACAAGTGATGCCCCACCGTTATTGTCGCCACTTAATCGCCGTAAGCACTCTTGTTTGATCACAGTATCGACGAGGCTATGCATAGCTTCACTCGACGCAAGAGTATCAGGTGATTCGGTTTTGACATGAGTCTCGGCAGCGATCGAACCAGTTGGACGGCCTTCACTGCCTGCACCACCGTTGCCAGCAACTGTTGACTGCCCAGATTTTGCTTCCCCATTGGGTAGAGACGGGTCACTCGACTGAAGAGCTTGAGAACCCGATGATTCGGGTGAACCTTCGCTAACGGAGTCATGAGGGCTTCCACCAGAGGAGTGACCGTTTGAGAGGCCGCCTCCAGTGGAGCTAACATTTGCGGTCGCAAGTGTCGTTGCTGCCGTTGCTGTGGTTGTAGGTTGTTGCTGTTGCGCATTTGTTGTGTAACTATTATTACTGACTGCTCTGCTTATGTTGCCTGTGTGGTAGCCATCTCGTGCTGTTCCCTCCCCACATGCTGGAGACGTGCTGACGGCATCGTCAGCGACCGGAGCGCCTAAAGGAAGTCAACGAAAATAAGTGCAGAGACAGGTTAAAGCAAAGATTACGTAAAAGCGAGGATGGATTAATAAAGAGGAAAAAATAAGTAGCTAGGAAAATGAGTACATGGAGCTTAATGTTGAAAAAAAGGAAGAAGAAGAAATTTGATGATAGTTAAGTATATTTGATTACAAACTAACCCGATTTTTCAAGAACAGTGTAACAATACCTTATATCGTGCTATATACACTAACACTACACAGTATATTAATTCACGCATGTTTGCTACAATAACTTTTAAAGTTAAAGAACGAAAGAAAGAAGAAGTTATAACATTTACAGTGCATACCAGTGCACTTTCAGCTGCGCTTGTTTCACGACCGTTTGGCTAATATACAAAAACGAAGTTATAACCGCATGGTATAAATGATCTTCGATAAAAGCCATATAGCTCAAACAAACGGCCTATCTATATATAACTTAATAACTGATTCCATATAATGTCTCGCTCCTCTATGAATTATCTATAGATTTTGCTTAAACGCAGACCAATGATGTGGGTGCTTGCTAAATTAAGTAACGAAATGAGAAGTTAACGTCAGAACACTGCACAGTTTTTCAAATCTCGCACACATGAAATGATACGATACGATCATTCCTTGTTACACTTGAAAAAAAGTTCACCTGGACAAAGAACACTGCCATATGCACAAGAGGCAAGTCGAGATTAAGCAGAGCAGGTTGAGGATGCCCCTTAGATCAAGAAGTGAAATCTAAATGGAGTTTATAAGACGACAATCTCCAGCAACAAGTATAATGTGGTAAACTATACCGCTCATTACGTCTGGTCTGATCTACCCCGCTTCGTCATTAAGTCAGACAGAGAAGCGCACTAAGTACGCCAGGAGAACGGTTAGTGGAAGTGGCTGCACACTTGTATCTGTGACGGCAGAGTCTTTCGTTCTTTTCTTTCACGAACATGGCGACCGACTGCCACCTTTCTTTTGTTCTGTATCTGTTTGACAACCAAAGATACACTCGGCGCATACTGGAGCTACGTTTTTCAACTGCGCTCTCAACCGATTGCACCGTTTGTCGATCCACTGATCCGTCGCAATGATATACGACTGTTTAGAAACGTGGATAGCATACATTCATATATAGGCACGTACTCAGACATAAACGGGCGTGTTTGCAGTAGGCGCCGGGTCATCAGAAGGCAGAAACAAGCCGGTCAAGCGACAAGACAAGCACGTCGCTTTAACGTGACGACAGTGTCGCTTTTCATTACATGCTTAATGGTAACAATGTCATTAAGAAACGATTGTCTTTGTTTTTTGCCAGTGTCCTGCACACTGCACAGTAATAGTGACATTGTGCATGTGTGCGTCAACCTGTGTGTTACTGCAGCTGATATTGCCAAAGTTCCCCATACTGTCTCCGTCAGAGACTTACCTTCCTCCCTTTATCATAAAAATTCGAGGCTGTATAATCGTTGTTGGTCCATAGTTCTATTACCTGCTTACAAGTAACAACAGAAGGACGGCCGACAAGTTTAGTTACCAAGGTAGCGCGCTAATGGACTGCTGATAGATACTTGTGTGCGGATGCCAGCCAGTAGTAACAGCACGTAATTACTAAGACGCAATTAATGAAATACACACATTTACGAAATGATAGAGCACACATAGATGTAGGCACATTTACTTCGGGCGAGAAGATTTAGAAAGACGATAGATGCAGTTGACATCGAGTGAATTGATATTATACGCTTGAGTTAAAGAAATGTGCCGTGTGTTCAACCCGCTCTACCAGACACCATGTTGTGCAGATGTGATGGCATTAAGCACAAAACATACTATTATTATTCCCGTAATCGTCATAGTTTCAACTCAGAGCTACTCATCAAGTGCGGTGAACGCTCTCGCGATTGCTTGTTTTGTCAGTAACGCTAATGCTGACACATATTTGGATATTGAACAAAAACAACGATATACGTCCTTCGTATTGCATGTGCCCTCCAAGCTCTTTGGCTGGGGGCCCCCTTCGTTTATATAAAGGTAGCGCGGAACTCGTCGCACACTTTAAGCTGTTAAGCTTCTTTTTGTACTACCCTTTTTTCTTCTTGTGTTTTCGATACACAAACGCACAATGACCGACAAAACAGGCGCAAAACGGTGGAACCACATTCACTGTTCACAATCACTAATTCAGCACAAACTACTCCATTCAACCAGAAAAATGACAGAAGCACAGATTTTCATCATTGGCGCTAGCACACTTCGCTCAGTATCTTTACAGCAGGTCATCAGCAATAGGGAGCTTTGTCATTACAGCTCTATAACTAGTCCTTATATTATGATTCGGATATATCGTTCCCACCCCCTGCTAAGGCTATAACACGAACCAATCCGACGTGACAGCATGAACGACCAGCGTTAAAACGTTAACATGGCCTACACTTACCCCGCCGCCGTTGACACACACACACACCGCAAGCAGTAAAGCCGTACGAGACTCATTGTGTCTATTACAAAATGGAGAGGGCGGGCTTCAGGCGTGAAGTGGGAAGCGACTAACGAGATTCGTACCATTACGACAAGGTAGCCTCATATGATAACATAGTATATACGTAAGTACATGTTATTTAAATATACCACGGTGCTGCGATGCAATGTTTCTTTTGTGTCGTTTGAGTGATCGAAAAGGTACGAAACATCATTCGGAGGACAGCGCTGTGATATCTATGTAAATGCCTTACGAACTATTATATAATAGATATATCTCAATGCACTCTGAATAGGGACAAACTGATGACCGATGAGATCAGTCTGAACGATTTATATATTACCACAGACACAACTAGATCCTATTTTTACCGAGGTTGCTTCCTGGTATTTTGGTCATGGCGAACTATTGAGAAGACTAGCGTTTAGCTAGCCTAGCACTTTGATCACGACAAGACCGGAGCCGGCCCGCTATGAAACTAGTAGCGAACGACCAGGCAAATGGGTCAAAACGAGCTCGTATACAGACACCCATAGACGTACATCAGACACACAATGAGAAGCCAGTTGTGGCGCCAGAACGGATGCGCTATCAATGCACGCGGTATGTCGACAACGTGCCACCTGCATACGTGCTCATTGGTCGCTTTCCAGGTCGTGGAGACCGCTGTGAACTTCCACGGGTGCCACTTTTGGCTAAAAATTGTCGAAATGTCGATTCCTGCGGGGCTAATGTTTCTCGGTTTCGTTGTGGGTAAAATCGATCACATCTGAATGATAAAGGCGTCGGAATCGTTGAATCGAGCATCTCGCCCACAGGCGAAACTCACCTTCGGTCGACATGGCGCCCGGGAGAAGGCTCGGCGGCGCCAACACAAAATATAGAAACGAAAATGCCAAAAAAACGCGTCAAGAATTACGGACAAAACACCATTCGAACAACTGGCCAGTTTGTTTATTCCATGGCTGCTGCTGTGATCTTGCCTGATAGAGGGCGCACACGTCGCCGGTAGCGTGCGAAGGCGCGCCAAATTCAAATAAGTTGAGAGGACAGGGCGACAGTAGCTTGGCGGGAGAGGGCACTGGGGATAGATAAACCAACAAGCTCGACAAGCATAGGCTAAGTTACTCTCACCACTAGACTAATACACATTGACAGAAAACTGGCAGTCAATTGAGAGACTGCCTGCCGGTTAGCGCGCTCATTCACGATAGCGTTCTTTGACAATGCATCAAAGTTGAACGTATATGAGCAGTAACAAGTAGCCTCGAATAATTATGTTCGAAAATACTTTGTTTGGATTGGTGAAATATAAATATATACGATTGGTTAATATTGGATTATATTCAGGTGAGATATAATTACACGAAATCGTTAACCGAGACCCCCTTCTTTATATGCAGTGTAGATTGATGCGCGAGGGTTTACGGCATCATAGCAGTATACCCAATCGTAGAAGTGTATTTAATACGTTTGACGATCACAAGGTTTTTCTACTTGGTGGAGTACCAGTAATTGTGCGTGGTTAAATAATATAAAATGAGCAAATGCTGTGTGGCAACTATATTGAACAGCTCAAACGACAAAAACAATAACACGGAAAAATAACAAAAAAGGAATCACACGTTTTAAAAAATGGAGACCGCAGTTATATCTCTAAAAAGCTGTATTAATCCAATTTTATACTACCGATTAAAATGGCAGTGATATATACTACGCGACGAATCTGAATTAGTAAAAAGAAATTATAATAATATGGCAAAGAGAACTTCCATAAGCCTTCTAAAGACGCCTGGCCTATGAAAGAAAAGCAAGCTGACTGGCTGATTCATAGTTACCAGCGACGCAAAGTCGCGCTCACCACGATACGCTTGCCCACATTGAGATAGGGATTAGCCAAACAAACACATCGACGGAAGAGTAGAAACATGTGGAAAGACTCATTCTACTGATACATCCGTCGCCGGTGGGTTCTGCCAGGCGGCGCCACTTGTACTTAATTTTTAATCAGCTGTTTAGGAGCAGTGGTGCTCTGTAGAAGTTGAAAAAAGATAATAACGCCTGTTGAATGAAATGTTCGACACTTCATAAACACTCCTAAGGAAAAGTTATTGATGAACAAATCGACCTGCCAATGACGTCCTTTTCGTCGGCTAAGTGCCAACGCTCTGGAGGATTACGTCAAAATTTAATCAAATATATTATAGCGACAAAAGTTGCTATTGTGTCAGTTAGTGTGTGTCGTGTCTAGCGTTAGCGGTATAGCGAAGTGGGAGACGAAGCACATTGATGTTCATCGGGTGGATTGTGCTTTGTGAACCCGTCGATTTAGGATGTTGGTGTATTGTTATTGATGTTAGTTGATACTAATATCATTGTTATTGGTGTCTTCGTCAAACAAATGCTGTTTGTAGCTTAAGCCTCTATTACGCCAAAGTTTTCTCCGCGCGTCATCTGACAAATACCTCACTCTGAGGACTCCTCCGGTCCTAAGCAAGCGCTACGAGAACGATTATGCAACGCGGGGAGGCATGTACACTTTTGGCGCTTTCTCTGTCCGAATCGAACAGCGATAGTGAGGTGCTTCAGTTTAGTCCGCCTAGAAGAAAACTCGTCACGAAAAGGTTCGAATGGTTATTATCAGAGCATGTCGTACTATATATTTAATTCTTAATAAGACTCTATGAATTGTGGCAATAACAATTTGAGACGTTTATTACTGTTCAAATGTGGCGCATTAGTTAGAATAAAAATAGGCTATAACAAACTATTGTTAATAATCATACTAATAAGTACCAGTGAACATACGTCACCAATTTCTCACTTGATTTTTTTTAAGTGTGCATTTAATCAAGTTACGTACCATAGTTTGTCTTATAACAAACATTCTGTTAAAAACCTCTCTCTATTTTCTCAAGCATCTTGAGTTGAGAACGCTCTAATTTTAAGTTTCAATTGAAGACCCAAATAAGCTTTGCATGGCAGGGATAAACTTTACGGCCATTATGTTCGCCTAATTTTGGAAGTATTGGCAACAGTTCCGCAATTTCCAGCTGCTAATGTGAGTCCTACAGGCTAGATAGATATAATGTAAAAATGATGTTAGTTCATTGAGAAGGCTAATGGATAACACAGAAAAAGGCTAGAGAGAAGAACATAAATTGATGAAGAAGGGTAAATAAAAATTAACTTAGTCTAGAAGGGAAAGCAATGATTCATGTCGATTAAGACCTTCAAACGAGAGAGGCTGCGAAAGCGTTAGAAGATAGCGGTCATGTAGCTATAAAATGCAAAAAACGTGCATTTATATATCCGTATGTATATATTGTGCTGGATTAATAATTATAATATAGATATATGAATAAATACACGTCTACATATGGATAAGCGGTTGTAGCGGTCGTCCTTGCCAGCCAACGACAAAGCTAAGTCAGTGTGCATCATTTTAGTAGTAGCAATGGTATGGCCGACTTGTCGATTGGCTAGATTACTGGACAGCATTGTCGAAATGAGGGTCGTGGAGTCCGACTAGAGAAGAGAGTCGAAGAATTTGAGCGCCTAGGTAAGGATCGCGACTGCTTGACTGACCCAATGATACGAAAATCGCAAGAATACCTGTAAGGGACGTGCATGCTGACCTGAGTGTGGTTCGACTCGCGCGCGTGAGGAACGACTACATTGGATGGCTTCAGGAATGTACCGTACGACCACCACCTTCCAGAGGAAACTAGATGGCCTGTTAATTTTTGACTTCTTGCCGCTGTAGGAAAGACGGGGAAGCGTTTCAATTTTGTGGGGTGAACGAAAAATGCTGGATAAGCTAAAAATCCAGAGCATATTTAGTGTTTCTGGCTAACACCCGAAAAACTTGAAATCAATTACTTGTCTCGCAGCGGGTAGAGTGAACTCCTATGCCGAGTTCGAGTGGCCTGAAAACGGAGAGGGCCGACACGCGCTGTCGGATACGCAAGGAAAGAGGAGACCTGTCGCTGCTTCGAAAGAGAAAAACGTATATGTTGTATACATTTTACTTCGAATGTTACGGGAGCACCCTTTTTTTGAGCCGTTTAAAGGACAGCTACAAAAAACGATGTTTTGGTACCACACGAGTTGACGTAACGTAATTTTTTTAACCGTCGTTTTATTTATGAAACTATAAACAATTACTTTGCAAAACTGATTATAAGATGACGAGAAATAAATCACATACAACAATGTATGAACAAGCATTAAAATGTGGTTTAAAATCGGGGACAAATCCAAGACTGACGCCAAAGAAGGTGATGCTGTTTGTTAGTATTATTGGACGGAGTTGTCACTGGCTGGCAAAATGATTGATTGGAAATTCTACTGTGAACAACTGGCAGGATTACATCAAGTCAATAAAAAAAATCGACCGCAATTGGTGAACAGAGAAAGCGTATTCTCGTTTACCTAGCGGGTAAAAACTGAGAACGTAGTTAGGAAGCTTTCATGCGTCCGCGGTCGAGCCCAGACCTTACAGCATCAGACTATCCTCTCTCTCTCTCTCTCTCTCTCTCTCTCTCTCTCTGTGAAATTATTTCAACGACGGTAGTTTACTTTCAGTGAAGCGAAGAAAAATCACTAGTCACAATGCCTCATTCAGGAGCCTTCAATAGAACTTCAATAGTGATGGGATTGTGTTATCAGAAAAGTGGCGTGTAATTATTCAGGAAATATTAATGTAAAATAAAAAAATATTTGGTTTAATAGAAAACTGTATATATATATATATATATATATATATATATATATATATATATATATATATAATAGAAATTTAATTCACCACTTTTGTCATAAAAGTAAAATAAATATC